GGTCTAAACAAAAATATTTTGCTGGATAAGCACATATGAAAGAACACTTTCATTTCTTTCAGGAAATGCAGTTACAATATACAAAATGCAAACTGAACAACAGAACTGGGTATATGTAAAGAATAACTTTCTACATTCTACAAATAAGAGTCTATCCTAGTGTGTAAATTAGTGACAGTAATCTGTGTGTCCCAGTATTCAGGTTGTAAATGTATTTTAACATTCACAAAGAAAACCATTGTCATAAGTCAGGCTTGATCTGCTCATGTGAATTGACACAGAACAGACGTATCACGTATGGGACATTAATGCTCCGATGAATGTGTCTTTCCATGGATTCCATATTTTTTCTATAGATCTCGGGACGTTTATTTCCGTGTGTGTTGTAGTGCTTCCAATGTCTCCAGTCATTCTTTGTGAGAACATACCCCAACAATGCACTGCATGGATCTGATGCATCATGTGTCCTACTCACTGTGAGCTGATCGGGGGGGGGGGAAGAATCAGCCTATAAAATTTTTGACTTCAGCTTTGGTTTTGAATGATTTGGAATTACTTGATGTTGACGTGTTCTTGTTGTTCCATGTTAGGCTGTTAGTTACTGAAGCTCAGCATGCATTTCATCAACAAAGCCATTGTGTAAATTACCAACAAAGAACATTGCACTTCCGTCACTGAGGGCTTTCACGGTGTAAATACGGGATTTTGATGTGTAAACTGTGTGGTCGGAGCGGTTTATCTTTGTGAGGCTGTAAAGGGACCACGGTGGGGATCGAAGGAGCTGTACATAATGTGTATATGACCAGTGCTCTATTCTGATATCTGCAGTCAAGACCAGGATGTATATACAGAACGTCACCTCACAGATGGACGCCAGGGGTGATATATGAACATATCGATTGTCTCAGCCTCCAGCTGACATGAACTGACATTGGTTGTAGAAATAAAAAAAACAGACTGTTAGAAAGTTCGCTGCCATTTACATCTAGCTCTCTTGTCATACATGCAACCACCCCCCCATACACACAAACACACATACTGTACACACATGGATAAACGTGCACACATCCTGCAGCAAGCTGTTCAGTGTGGCGTGAGACACATTTTTCAACAAAAAAAAGGAAAAGACAAGAATGGCCTCATTTATATGTGCATTCTGTTTGTACAGTGAGTAGTGAGTCAGTAAGACCCCAGTTATTGTAAAACTTCAACTGTGACAATGTTGAGAACGCAAAATAAACAAGTATATGACTTACGGTACACCTGCTGTCTTATTGCTCTCCAGCATATCAAGCATTTCATTGAGCAACTCTGTTCAGTTTTATTGGTTTTGCACCAAATCCCTAACATACGTCATCTCAAGGCACTTTACATGAGACCTTAGAGAAACACAGTTCCCACAATCAGCAAACACTTGGTGACTGTGGAGAGAAAAAACCCTCTACAACCAGACTCGGTGTGGGCGAACATCTGCCTCGACCGGTTGGTGTGAGGGGAGAGAAATGGGCAGGAGGGGGATAGAAAGTGGGAGAGAAGAGAGAGAGATAGAGAGAGAGAGCAGCTGTGTAAAAGTCATATTTAAACTCTGAAAAAAGACTGGTTGTTAAAATAATAACAATAAGAGTGATATGTACAGATGTAATGATGTTAATGATAGCAGCACCAGTCATAGTAGTAATAACAATAATGGTCATATTATTAATATGTATTATCATTATTATTATTATCACTACTAATAATAATTGTAGTAATACTAAAAGTGATTCTCATATATGTTATGATGTTATTAATGATAGCAGTACCAGTTAATATTAGTAGTAGAAGTTGTAATAATAATGATAATAAATGGTATTATTATATATTATTGATATTTTTTAAATTATTACTAATAATAATGATAGTGATCATAATAAATGTTACTATAGTGATAATAGTGATTCTTATAGATGTAATGATGTTATTAATGATAGCAGCACCAGTCAGCAGCAGCAGTAGTAATAGTAATAATAATGATAAAAATACATATTAATCACCAGTTAACATTAGTAGTAGTAGTAGTAGTAGTAGTAGAAGAAATGACAATAAGTATAATGTCTTTCATATTATGAAATGTTAATGCTCTCTTCAGGTTCTAGCAATAGTCTCTCTACTGCAGAAACTCCACCAGAGGGCATTCTTGAAAATGAAAATCTGTGCCTTTACACCATCTATGGGTGAAAAGAGTTTGTGCTGCACAGTGAGCATGAGGGTTCATACAATTACCTCTCATATTTGAACCACTCCTGTGAAGCTGTGGGAGAGGGGCATTCATTTATTTCCACTAGTTCCGCCTCAGTTAATGCCCATTCTGCCTTGTAGCCCCAATTTTCCATTAAGAACCTGTTTCTCTTTTTTTGGGCCTCGAGCTCATTCATTATTTGGCTTTCCAAAATATGTCATAGGTACTTCAATCTAAATCCACATAAAGCTGAACGTGCTCGCAGCTGTACTTTGCAGCAAAGTGCCCGCTGCGCCCTCAGCACTGCAGTGAATGTCAGTAATAAACACTGTGTGGAAGAGCTTCGGATAGCCTCCTCCACTGTTTCTAATAGATACCCTCTTATCTCCTGAAAGCAGATGGATTTCCTTCATGTCAAATGCGCCATAACTGTGCAGTGTTATTGGTGCATTCCTCAGACTGACGCGGTTCTCTATCGACCGTGTGATTATTCTGAGTCAGTCACAAAGAAGGGGAAACCTGGAGGTCAGGAGGACTTTGGAAATGCTCTTAAGCTCAAAAGAACAGTGAATACATAATGAGATGTTAAGGATGATTGGCAGCACGAGTGGTAACATCCTAGCTGGCCTGACTCTAAAAGGTTTGTATTCTTCTCTTTTTTAAACAGTGAGGTGTTTTTGACTTTCACTTTCAGTCACATTCTCTTTATTACAACCTCTTTCATTAAGGTTACATTCTGAAAAATGTTGACTGCATAGTTTCAATCTTATTATAAAACAGAGCTTTGTGCGCAGGGGTTGATTTTAAAGGACAATATAACTGCTTGTCGTCTGCTGCACTGTAAGAATTCTCTGAAGCTTCCCCACTGTTTAGTTATAATTTGTCGTTATAATGCAAACTGAGACCATCACATAGGGAATAACCTCTTCCTGATCCTGCAGGATGCCCCCTGGTTTAATCTTAGGGGCCTTCCTCCTCTTGGCCACATCGAGTGCACATGCTATTTGTCGACCGTGCCTATATTCAGTCCTCCAGTCTGCTGGTCTGCAAGTGAACTGCAGCTCTTCACGCCTCGTGGAGCTGCCTCCTCTGCCCTCACACACCACAGAGCTCCATGTGCAGGACAATCGGCTCACCTCGGTGTCTCCGGGCCTGTTTGACAGACTGGTTGGTCTGAAAAAGGTCTCACTGTCCGGGAACCCCTTCCACTGTGACTGCAGGATCCAATACCTGAGGAACTGGCTGCTGAAGAACAGAGCTGTCGTATCGAAGGAGCCCACTTGTGCCAGTCCGAGCTCTGTGGCTCAGAAGGCCATCACCGACCTTACAGATGACTACTTCTCCTCCTGCGGCCTGCCGAGCTGCACCAGTGGGACTTACAACGCAGCGATGGGAGCGATGCTGTGCTGCGTCATTGCTCTGCTTCTGTGGAGCTTGAAACTGGCCAAATCGTCTACCTTCACTCTGTACATAATCAACAGACACGTGGGACTCGAGGCCGACTCTCTACGCTCACTGAAGCCCAAACACAGAAGGCGGTTGCACACTGCACTGTCAGGAGTCAGTGCGGACTTGAATTCTTTCAGTTGCACACAGGAACTAGAAGGGCCTCATGTCAGCATGGAGTTACTGCCACAAGTTCTGGATGCGTTGCACAAGAAGCACAAAATAAAGATAAAGGCAACCTGAGCAACCTCTGTCTCCTCCAGGAAATACGTATGTTTAAAAAACACTACAAGTGATAACTAGAGGTGAGGCCAGTAACAAGGCAGCACAATGGATTTATTTCATTTATTTTTATTTTTTGCAGTAAACTTGTTTTGCTGCTTAACCTTACAGTGTAACCTGGGAAATTGTATTCTTAGTATTTTACTAATTTAGACATGAAATGCACCACATCAATGTATCATCAATTTTATCTATGAACTATTCTGGCTTCTTATTGTGTAGGAAATGAATGAGACCTAACTGGAAATGCATTAGTCTTCACTTTACACACTCAACTGTGACCTTTGTTAAGACAGAGCATTTTTGCCAAGTTACATAGAGACCTTGTATATTCTTACATTTTCTTAAGTTAAGGTATTTACAATGAGTGAATTGTAAGTTATGTGAGACAGTAAAAGGTTTTGATCGGCGTTGTATTTGTATACTTCTGGAATAAATTCTTCTACATGATAATAAACGGGTCATGGCAGGAAGATATGGACACACCTAACAAAGATGAACGTCTCTGATCTGTGCAAATACTGGTCAAGGCTCTCACAACTAGACGTAATGCAGTCAGACAGTACTCTTAGAGGACAATATTGCACATCAAACAGTTGTAATTACAGTACAAGTATTACTGTTATATTCATGCATAGATTTCCCAGGATAAATGACTTAGAATGAAATGATTAAAAAAGTCAAGAGAGTAAAGGTCAAATGTTAAAATCTCAATGTGCTTCTTAAAAACACTTGTAATAAATATAGGATGTTTTCAGGATTTGTAACAATCTAAAACATTACTATCATCTAAAAAAATACTTAGTAGGGTAAAATAAGGCAGTTCTTAAACCTTTCATTGATGGAAATCAGGTATTTTTAAAGACTTTCACAAAAACAATGTAAAGGGGCAGTTAACAGATTCATGATTGATTTTCTCTAGTTTGTCTCAATGTTGAAAGTTTAGAGGACGAGCCGTGTTTTGTCAATAGCCTGTCAGGTGATAAAACAATGTCCACAGTGTTAGGTTCCTATGGGTTTATGCATTAAATGGTAAAATACTCAGTTTAATGCTCCACGCCTCCTCTGCCGTGGAAACGTAAAGCATCTTAGCTCCAACTCTACTGAGGCACAAACTTCTCCTGCTCAAAGATTAGGTTGACGGCTTCTGCCACGTCCTGCACGATGTGGCCTGGTTCCACCAGCGCGGGGTCGAATCTGAAGTCCCTGTGCCCGTGGAACACCGTCTCTTTGATGCAGCGGTTTGCATCCGAGGGCACCTCTGCGTTGGGGTTGTAGACCCCCGTGCAGACCAGGACGGACTTACAGGAAGTTGCAGAGGGAAGAGCCAGCTCGCTCTCCCACAGGTTGTCAATCTCCTCCTCCTGGGGTACAGCAGTGGTGGATCCTGTGGCAGCTGCCATCTTGGCGACGGCTTTGGGGTTCTTCCTCGCAACTCTCTCCTCCAGGTAGCGGTTGTACAGATTGGCCCCATAGATGTCAGTCATAAGATTATCCCTGATAATGGAAAAAAAGAGTTTACTTGGTCTCTCGGGCAGATATTAATATGTACAACACAGTTTTAATTTCCTGCTGCTCTGTGCTTCTCCTCGGACAAAAGAGAAAGATTACATACTGAAGGCACACAAACACAGAAAAGCTTTGCCGGCACAACAGCAATAATTGTTTGCAAAAAAAATGCACATTTGAAAAAAAAAAAACCTGAAGTGAAACATGCAAGTTCTGAAAAACAGTGTGCTGTGTTCACTGTCACGCATGTATTTTCACACCAAATTATTGAGCAACATCTAAATAAAGTTACGTCTGTTATAATGTGCTGCTCTGTGCCTGTTTCCAGTGCTTAGTGTCATTAGACTGCATCAAAAGTGAATTCTGATCGTGGTGCAGTGTTTCCCATGTGTTGTTAACTACACAGACAAAGAGAAACTTGGTGTCTTACCCTATAGCATAAAGGGAAGTGATAGGGAGTTTCCACTGTCGCTCCATGGCCTGGCTTCTGATGAGGTACTCTGCAAAATGGTAGGTGAGCTCGCTGGGTTTTCCCATGAGAGCCTCATACTTCAGCTCTTTACCCGTTATCTTTTTGTAGATGTTCTCTAGGCACACGAGAAACGTCCCATGGCCAAACCTGTGACAGAATGAGACAGCAGAGGTCAGAAAGGTGCATCTCCTCATTTCTTTGGCAGCTTCTCAGACTGTGCTCAAGTTGCTTTTGTTAATAAATACATTTGTTTTACAGTTTCCATGACAGCGCTTATTTCCAATGGTTACCGTGGAGAATTCGCCTCAGCCATCCACATGAGGTCCATGTTGCAGGTGAGCAGGGGGAGGTGAGGCATCTTTTGGGTTTGGTGAACACTGCTGAGGTTACCGTTGGTCAACAAAACATCGATTATCAGCTGCAGGTTGGTCTCCCATCGGATCGGCTCTCCGAACAGAACCACAGCTGTGTGTAAAATTATACTAGAAGTTGTAAATCGCCGGCAAAGTAAAACAACAAAACTGACAATACAGACAACTATGAAACCTTTAAAATAAAACAAGATGTTCATACCTTCAACCTTGGGATGGTTGACCAAAGAACTGGACTGAAATGAAAGAAGGGAAAGTCAATATTAATATAATTATAATATTTATATTTCTACAACCCAGTTTTCTATATCTCACCGGCAGTTTGGGTCTCCTGTTGTGATCCACCATGTCCAGCAATGGGTACGATTCCCTCAGCATATCGATACTCACAACATTATTAAAGCCCAAACTGTAGGAGAAATGTTCAGCGTTATTTAAGTATACCTTTTAAATAAATAATTCATAGAAAACATGAACACAAACTCCAGGATTCCAGGTTACTTTTTAGCTATTTCCAGGACTGGTCCTTGTCCCGACACCAGCACACACTTCTCATGAAACTTCTTGAACATCCTCAGTGGACTATGCGACATGATGACTTGATCTTGAGTGATCTGCAAACACAGCAAAGTGTCAGGAGAGGTTAACAGCAGGGGCGACCTTAAAGAGAAGTGTGTGTTTTAGTCAATCTAAACACAACAATCACAAATCCTCTGTTTCAGAACTCACAGGTACTCCCAGGATGTGGGAGAGCTGGTCTGCCTTCGTTTGTCGGAGGCAGTTCCCTGCGTTGGTGACAAAAACCACTGGCACCACAAACTGTCCCTGAGAGTCCACCAGCTTTTCGAAGGTCTTCTTCGCAGCAGGGATTGGCATCTTCCCCCGCACGAGAACGCCATCGATGTCAAACAACAGCCCAAAGCTTGGCTGTGGCTGAAGAAGGACACACAAGGCACCGGTTAAGCAGCATAACAACACCAAGAGAGAAAATCAAACAGGACAGTAGAAAAATAAGCCAAACGATGCAGATAAAGGATGGTGTCTGATATTAAACATTGAGAAATGATCAAAATAAGTGTGAGGTCACTAACTAACAGGATATAATGTATCTTATAATAGCAGAGCGTGAAATTACTAATTTTTACAATAATACAACGCATCATATGTCATTGCTTTACTTTATATGTGTTATGTCTGTTGTTATTATCCATACATGTGTGAGCGTCTTTCGAATGACACCAGTGACACATTTAACTCATTATGGAGCCTTTATTTTATTTGCAGGGTTTTTAGTGCATTACAAACAATCATATGGCACAACATGGAGTCTATTAAATTTCCAGCCATAGATAATCCATTGTGGGGGTCCTATGGAGACACAGCAGTACACAGGGATATGTGCTTGCATTGATGGTATATTAATAATACAGCTTTCTTCCAAAGTATTTCTTTTCCTGTAACTAGGGCCCAGAAACCAAAGAGGGAACAATGCAGGGACTTGTTTTTCTCATGGGGGAAAAAACACAGTGGAAGCTACATCCCCTGTTGTTCCATCCCTGGCAACACATCCGCATCTGACCAAGTTGCATGCAACACTGGAGGCTTTGCACCGTCGATCTGGCACATTACGATTTTAAAAGAAAGAAGAGAGGCGCCGTGTCAACAAACGCATTGTTCGCCCGGGTGAACCGTACCTTGCTATTAGACTGAGTTCCGCAAAAGCCGCACCGAGAACCGACAATCCCAGCTTTGCGTCGGGCTTGACGGTTACTCAGGGTGTGCAAGCCCCGGTAAAACGACAGGAGTCCCTTCATCTCCCTATATTTAGCACCGGGTTCAAGAGGATTTAAAGGAAAAAGAAAAGGAACAAAAAAGAAAACAGAAAAGGGACCTGGACCTGCGCGCAGAGCATGAGCCGGCTCGCTCCGGCCGCTCGCCTCGGTTTTTTTTTCTCTCCCCCCTCCCCGATGTTTTCTCTCCTATAAATCGACTGGGCGACACCCGATGACGACACGTGAGGAGGAGGAGGGTCTCTTGCTGCATCTCTGCCGGAGGAAGGATCCGCATCTGGTCTCAGTGAAACCCCGCTGCCATTTTAGAGTCCGACGAGGTGGAGCTTCCCGATCCGTGCGCGCACAGACACCGCGGCGGAGCAGAGCGCAGCGCTGCGTAAAAAACACGAGCTCATTGATGTCCAACATATCTCGATCGATGTCTTTGTGGGCGCACAGTGGTTTATTATCTGCTGCACGAGGCACAACGCAGGACTCAGACGGAGCCCCACGCATACTTCTCCATTTTGCTCGCCGGCTCTATCTTTAGGGTCCTGAACCGGTTTGGTCTGCCCGTGGCGTGGATGCGCGTCGGCTAAATTTGCTGCAGGAAACCAGAAGGAATTTGAAGTGGAAATTTGACACTCGGTCAGGACACAACCCACCCCCCCCCCCCCCCCCCCCTTTTAAGTTTTACTCAGAAAGCCCTCCTTTATTTAGCAGCTTGCATAGAGGGGTGGGGGTTTCTTCTGCCTGATTTGTAATGGATGTATTTCTGCAGACGTCTTGGCGCAGAACAAATGAGGCACTATTATCCACTTCATACACTGTTGACCTGCAGATCAGATTATCTTCCACCTGGGCTTCTTTGATGATGCTGGTGACTTCTTCAGGAGTTGTTCCAAGTGTATGTAGGAATCTGGAAATGCTTGTTTCTTGATGTTTCACCTCACACCCAAAAACCCATCAGTTCCGAAGAAGTTCCATACGAAGCACAACTACAAGATTCTATTAGATGCACATTGAGTCTTTCTAGGAGTTTCTTTTAAGTGCATTGAGATAATGTCTATGATTTGGTTCTACACAAATAAAACTGAATTTAATCTTCACAGATTTGTTAGAATTATTTCACATAAAGAGTTTTACTGTTATCTCAGATTTGGCTTCTTTTAAAGCAATTGCTTGAGAGCAAAAATCTTTAAAAGATTAGCATAAAAACAATCTTCAAAACTTGCGTTACACCCAAAATCAAACAAAGGGTCCTCCCCGTGCTCCTCCAACTTTATTGATAGTTTAAAATTTCTAACATTTCTATTTTCTAGGACTTCAGTTGCACTTTCCTTCCGACTTAAAAACTGAGTACAAGCAAATGGTATTTATACAGTAGTCTAAGTGATATTGTACAAAAATAACATTTTGATTTCTGTGAAAAGATTTTTCATTCCCAAATAACTCCTGATTCTGCTGTTCTGACAACTGTTGATGTTAAATTTTGCCAAGGTAAAAAAAAAATTCCAAAGCCATTTTTAAAAGGAAAAGTCTACCTTGGACTGGTACATGATATTTAAATTGTAAACAGATTTCTATAAAAGAACTCGTTTCTTTTAACACCTCGAAAATTTTATATCTTAGCAATATAACATGTTGTTTGTTATCACCCTCTTTGCTGCTTGTTGGGCAGAAATGCGTCGGGTTTTGAAATGTTCCAACCCATACTCTCTTGGCCAACTCATATCCCACTAAAACAAACCAAAATAACCATACATGGAAGTTCGGTTTCTATTTACTCCCTTCTGCTGTCTCATTTTACTGAGACTCACTTCCACAAGCTCAGAGGTCCTATAGATGCCCATGTGTGTAGTCCCATTTTATTCATCTCTGATCACCAGTGGCTTGGAAAGGGGGGTTCTTTTACAAAGCATTATACATAACACCGCTACCAAACTAAAACATTTTTGTATTGAATGCAGAAAGATATTTTTTCACCCCTTTCATTGTATATGTCGAGAGGCTCACTGGCCTGGAACTAGCCTCTGTTAGCCAACATTTGGCCAGTGAAGAGGATTCAGAGAAAATAATACAACCAACCATCAATCTGAAAAAAGGAGGGGCAACAGAGGGCACTGATTATGCGGTGGCTTCGATGGAACACTCTTTTGCCACGTGGCCCGCCTTTCCGCAGTTGTAGCAGTTAGTCTCGCTGGTTTTACCGCAGTTCAAAGCGACATGACCAATCTCGCCACACCTAGGGAGATGAAAGATTCTTTAGAAACAGGGCAATTTGCTCAAAAGTGATTCACAAAAGGGACAAGTCGACACTCACCTGTAACATTTCACCTTATCGCAGAGTTTCTGGATGTGGCCGAACTCTCCGCAGGAATAGCACTTCTGCTCGTTGGCATGATCACAATCACGGGCCACGTGACCAGCTTTGCCACATGTGTAGCAGAGGTGCTCCCTCTCCTTTTTGGGCTCCTTACAGTCCCGGAAAACGTGACCAGTTCCGCGGCAGTTGTAGCACGCTAGAAATGGTAAAGACATTAATAACCAACATTTTTTTTCAAAACAATTTTACTGTTGAAACAACACATATGCTAAAGCTCTATCAGTGGACAAGTTAAGCTGGTAGTTAATGGGAAACACTGCAGTGACCAGGGATGGCCATTTTTAGAACCCTGCACAGATTTATTTTTCACAAAATATAACTAATAAAATATGTTGCATTGTGTGCTGATAATGGCCTACTTCTTATCCTTCACTTTAAGGCAAAAAATTGAATGTATGAAGTTCTTTGCCTGCACCCCATCTCTGCAATTAACTGAATAGTTAAGATGCTCTACTCATTTAACGATTGAATATATGAACGTGCCAATAATCATTTCAGAATAATTTGGTTAACTAAAAGCCTACACAAGCTAACATACCTAGGGTGATGGCAGAAGAACTATGGAAACCGGATCTCTCCGCCTGTATGTGATGGACTTTCCCAAGATATTTGGACAAATTACTTGTGGACACATTACTTCCACTCACATGTGCAAAGTCGTATTCAGCATTTTCTTTTGAATGTGTGTTCATTTGCAATTAACAGAAGCATCACGACGCGTGTTTCTGGTCTCTGCGTGTGCACATGTAGTGCATGTGAGTGAGAGCTGCCCCCCCTTGCATACATCCTCAGAGAGAGAGATCTCTAGTCTCTAACTTGGCGTTAGCATTGAATACAATGCACACCCATCTAATGCTTTTCATTACATTTGAATTGTTCTAACAAATAAGGCGTCACACTAAGTAGAAATGAATGAGAAGAAACAGAATGTAAATACATACCATCCTCAGTTTGGTCACACTCCCTGGCCATGTGTCCTTGTTCTCCACAACGATAGCAAAACAGCTCTGTAGTGACACAGACAAACTTAGATGAGAAGACGAATAAAAGCTTTTAATTCATGGCTTTATTGCTCCTTTTAGAAATACTGTGCTGAGACACGTGTGCAATCCCACAACAAACGCTACAAATGAGTAACATATCTAAGGTGCAGTTAAACATAGAATCATGTAAAACCTATGAATATTTTATATTTTATAAAAATGTATCTTATACTAGGTGTGTCGTGTATAAAAAAACGTTACCCTTGGATCGTCCCCGAGCCCTGCCGCGTCCAGCACGTCCACCGACGGCATTAGGACAATGCTTGATCCAATGCCCAGAGCGGCCACATCCAAAGCACTCACTGCTGCTGCTCATCTCCATTACCTTAAAACAAAAGCATAATGCACATCAGTCAACAAAATACAGCTTAAAATGTGAACAAGCATTATGCATCAAAAGTAAAAATGAAGACAATTCTTTTAGATGAAATATGTGGGAAACAGCTATTTCCATTTCCTGAAATGTTTTGTCGACTAAATCGAACTTTGACCCCCAGAAAGTCACACGGTGCATGTATGAGCATTCCTAAAGACATCAAGTGCTATCAATCATACATGTCACAAAACAATTACTGAGGGATACTTGTTTACAGTGTTTTCATATTCAACAGTTTGGTTCAAATAAACACTACTAAGTCGTCTCTCCTGATGTATGCACTTATTACACTAATTGTGACAGTTGGGGTAAAACCCTGTTGACCACTAACCCTAAATTTTAAGAGATTCAGCTGTTTCCCACTGAGACACTAGTAGAGGAACAGCTGGTGTGCTGATGATTTGGGGTTTTTGCTGAGCAGCTGAGGGTGGCATTGATACTTTGCCATCAAGAACAGCCACAATCACGTTGAATTTAAAATAACCCTGCATGTGCTGGGCTGTCAAAATGTGTCTGGTGAAATGATTGGGACTGTTTTCATGTTTGGGTAAAACTACAGCAGACGACAGAGCTGCAGTGGAAGGGACAGTCTATCAAAATGATCTAAACTACAATCACAGGGGGATATTTGAACTGTGGGGTCTATTAAAATTGGCATTGGGACTACATCTAGCTACTGATCTAACTTACACGATTTCCTCAATGGAATCATGCTGTGATCGCCATAGGCCGAACTTCTGTTTGCTGACGGTGCTAAAGACATTAAGTCAGGAAGAATGTGAGTTAATGAATAATCACAGTTCTTGTAATGAGTGCCTAAATGGTGACGTAGGATGACAACACGAGGCAGCTGCGCTTCAATTATCTTCGCGTTAAGATAGTCAGGGATAACTTGTTGCTTCTTTCTACAGTCACCCTAACGCCCGATGGGCCTCGGTTCACTTCTTACATAACATTTCTCCAGCTAGTTATTGAATTATTTATCCTCTTGCCTCATGAAAGCTTTTTTCCCACGTGTCTCTCTGGTACAGGTCAGGTCAGGTCACCCCTTCCATAACTCGGTCAGTTATAATGCTACACGTTGTTTCTGCTACAGAAATGGCCATGGGTGCATGTCGGGGATGGTATGCTAACTCAGAGAGCAAACTCCAGAGGGCAGCCACCTCTCGCCGTGTTTACTGAACATCTGCTAAAACACGAACTCGAAATCCTAAATATGACCAATGTGATAAGTGAACCTGGGGTAAAAATTCGGACCTAATTCGGTGCTTGCAGAACAGAATCAAGTGCCAGAGGTTGGTGCTACGCTAGCGTCGGCCTTGTCACGTTGATCTCCCTGCGTACTCGCGAGACACTCGCGCTACTAGCTAGCGCATGCTAGCATACCACCGAGCGATCACGACCAAGAAGCACGGTTCAGTCGACGATCGCTCATGTTCCCACGGTAAGAAGGATTGGATATTAAACGTAAGGCGACGAAGATTTACCGTAGAGGGTTTCTGGCGGCTATTTGAGCGAATATGGCTTAAAAACAAAATTTCCCGCGCAGTGCGCACACGCCAAAGTCGTGGTGACGAGCTAACGTTAGCAGGCCGGACACACAGCCCGATGCTCCGCTACAGAAAACCACACGAGCGCGTCTCCACAAAAGAAACACGAGCACACGCCACATTTTACACTTCAGTCAATTTGAACACATTAAAGTTAGAATGTTAACGGAAGTAAAATATCTACTGACCTCATCCATTGTAGGGTTCTTTTAATTCTTACCTTGCTGGCTTCCGAGCTGTGTCAGTGTTTACGCCTCCTTCTTTGCGCTACATGCGGTGTGTGAGCAGGAGTTCCTGAATTGTCATTCAGTGAAAACCCGCACGCTCATTGGTCACCTACTCTGCGAGCGGCCAATCACACACGACGATGTCTGGACACCGCCTCTGTGAATCAGCCAATCACCACAGTAGAGTGATCCAGTTTCTAACATCACAAACTAAAAATCACAAACATGGGTTATTTGCTAGGTGTGGTTTATGTTGTACTAATACTTACATCACAACCAGTAGTACTAATATTACTACTACAATGAAAACACAAACAAGATTATATAATGATAATAATAATTGTTATATCAAATATGAAGAAAACTGGATTTGTATTAGAGCCACAACAGAAACACAGTCCAGAAATTATTTTTTTTTCCAGTTTCAACATGAAATTTGAATTTTTTTTCATGGGATCATTAGTGTTGGCTGGACTCAATTTACTAAAGGGAATTACTCGTATAAAAGAGTAATTTAGCACTTATAGTAGTATAGAAGTACAGATTTTTGAGAGCAACATAAATCGTGCAGGAAACTCTCAGCTACTCTCTCTTAGTCATTTGAATAAATAGCCGTGACAAAGTCAGGTCTTTGTTTGTGGAATCTGAGCAACGTCTCAGTTAACACAGCAGTAACAATTTATATAACAATAACAAGTTTTCAACAAAAGAAAGACACATATTGAAAAAATATTTTATTTACTTTATCGAGGATAGTTTAGGGTCAAACTATTTTTTTTAAACTTCTCACACCCATCGGAATTGACAGTCTGGGCAATTAATAAAAACAGAAAATTACCTGCAAACGTTTAAGTAAAATTCTCAAAATCTGTAACTGTAAGTATATGATCACAATAATGAAACAGTGGTATGTGTGTGTATTTACATTATCATTTCCCAGATATATTGCTGCATAACCCCTGATGGTGGATCCTTCTTATTTATAGAGTCCTGATTGCATCACATTTTGAATACTAAAGAACTGATGGAGACAGCAATAAATCCATGGGTCCTGGAAGCGTCTCAGCTGACTGGCCTGAGTGCTCTGACAGATCAATAAGTGGGAGAGGAGCAGTCAGCTCAGTTTTAAGGTGGCTTTGGTTATGAAGCTCTGAAATGGCGATTTCTATTCCCCTGTTGTCCCCATTTTTGCACCTCGCAACAATTAATACAAAGCAGGAAAAGATAATAACAAATGGAGCCAGGCATGAGGATGCATCTCGTAATATATCCATGCTGACTGAGGTGCATGTGGGGTGGAGTTCCTTAAAAAAGCCCTGCCCTCATCTTCACAAGAAACAGTATTTGCTATTTTTCTTATTTGCCAGATGAGAAGTCATATTTGAAAATGCAGTTTACAGGAAAGCAAAGATAATTACACAGATAGACTGAAAGTACAATAAGGATCATAACATGGATTTATGAGGAAGATTCCAGCTGAAATTTTCTCCTGCTGCTGCTACATGGAAACAATGTAAGCTGAGGCCATCAGGACACGTTTCCCTGGTTGTTTATGAAGCTGTTTTATTCTCAGATGGTGTCAACTCCAGCTTTTTGAAAAGGACCTATGAGCCTTCTGTGATTACAGGGGACCCCAGGGGACCCACACTGGGATGATGGTGAACACATGGTGAGTGGTGGAGGTTACAGTTTCACAATGGCAACGTGTCAGGGCCAGTTTGGAAAATCAGAAGCTAGTGTGTGCTAGTGGAAACATTAGAATTCCATGCAAACTAAAGGATAATGCCTTTCTATCTGTTTACAGACTTTTAATGCATGTTTTATTTTTTCTTGATTATCTTTCCTCCTTTTATGCTGTACCACAAGTTGAATATTTATCGTCTTTTTTGACCAGATGTTTAAGTGAGATAATCCTTTATTTGTCCCAGAACGCAGAGATTTGCTGTGTAAGAGCAGCAAAGATGACATCAGTAAAGTTAAAGTAAACATACAATACTTATAAATGCAAGGAAACAAAAAACATAGGAGGAATAGACCTAATACATACAATGTAAACAGAATATATATATATACAGTGTGAACAAACTTCATTGATTGCACATTAGCCATGAATTGCACTGTTGACAGGAAATGCATATAATACAATGATACAATATACATCTTAATAATCAAATTTGGATTTTTTAATGAGCAAAACCAACATAATTTCCAAAGTGTGGCACTGTTGCCATGTCTCCAGATGATGGTGCAGTTAATAATGGTAGTGGGCCTATGTTTTTGCTTTTGAAAAGATACTTGCAATACAAACTTACAACAAATGCAAAAGATAGCAGTAGCCTGCAACCTTAAAAGTGACATGTGGGCTGCCTGAATTGACTTTCAATATGATATGTTATGATATTTAAAAAAAATTAACATTTTAAAAATCGAATGTGGTTTTTATATGAGCAAAAAACCTGATTCCCAAAGCTTCACAGTGTTGCACTGTGGCCATCCAACCAGATGATGGTGCACTTGGAGTTAATAATGGCGTCTTTACTCCAAACCGGTAATGGGGCTATTGCTTTTCAAAAGACACTTTTGCACTTTTAACAAAAACAAAATATATTTTTTGCACTGGTTGATCATTTTATGAGCAAAACCAACATGATTTTTTAAAGTGTCGCGCTGTGGCCATGTGTCCAGATGATGCTGCAGTTTATAATGGATTACTCCTTTACTCCAAACCGGTAGTTGGCCTTTGTTTTGTTTTTATGCTTTCAAAAGACTCTTTTGCAATTCAGACCCGGGGACTCAAACCTATTTTTTTTTCTCCAACTTGTCTCTGCGAACAACGTAAATGTTGTTTCTGAATCGCCACTTGTGGGACTTTTAATTTGAAAGCCTCTCACGGACCTCACTCGTCGTGTCACTTTGAGGGTCAGACGGATTTTTTCCTCTCCACCGCTACAGGCAGATTAAAACGCGTTTAATATTATTTAAAGCGGCTCGTAAACGACCCCCACCTACGACCTCGACGTCTTTACGCCATCGCCGCATTCACCGGACACAAGATTATTCAGTGAATTTAACCAACTTCGGCTTTTTCCACTCTTCTCTCAATGCGTTGCAAATATGATGATGTCACCGACGCCACTTTTTCCTGAAGTTATGGCGGAGAACAACTTTCCTAACTTCTCATGGTGAGCAGCAGTCCTCTGGCTGCACGCATGGTTGATGTTTTAGCAAATATTAAGGGTTTCGTCAGCTCCTTCCGTGAGTCACACGACGAGTGAAAGGTTTGCCCGAGGCAGAGATTTGAATGGAGGCTAAACCAAGAGCATCGGGGAGAGCTGGGGATATAGTTGGTGTGTGAGGGCCCGCGGGCAGAGTTTCACAGTTAAATCTGGAGCCAGCAGGCCTGAGCTGTGCACGCGTGGATTCAAATGTTGGGTGAAATCTTTGCTTCAGAACTTGTCCTCTCAGCTGCCAAAACATCGACCTCACCTCCATTTCTGACTTTTCAACACTTCAGGCGACTCTCACAAACTCCTGTGCGCATGCAGCACTTTGCTGTTTGTGTGTGTGTTAGCAAAGTGTTGACTGACTAGTTTAGGTGAAAGGGATCTATTGGCAGTAATTGACTATAAAATAATCTTAGTGATGTTTTCACTAATGTGTTAAATTTGAATTTTGCCAGTTGTTGTTTCCTTTATATTTAAATACTTTATATTTACGTCAGGAGCTGGTCCTCTCAATGGAGGCAGCCATTTTTTTTTACAGCTGTCCAAACTGGACAAATTAAACACCTTTTGAGTTTTTATGACAAGTGAAGGCGACCACAGGTTCTTCTTCATGTTTGGAAGGGGAGGGTGAGGTGAGGGGTGTTCAGCATGCAACATGCAACTTTACCACTAGATGTCACTAAATTCTACACACTGATCCTTTAAGCAGATGGCTGCAAAAGTCTTAATGATTCAGGGCTTCACATTGTTTCTGTTGATACCCTTTTCTGGACGGATCACAGCTCTTGTTTTGAACACAATTCCTGCAGCATGGTGGGAAGGGTGCAAGAGCCACAATTCATTTCCTGGACTTGTGTGTGTGTGTCTGTGTGTCTGTGTGTCTGTCTGTCTGTGCGCGCTTTAACAGCAAACCACCAACTGCTGTCATCGTCTCTGCAGCGTTAGCATCTCTTTGTATAAGACACACCAGAGATAATTGAGGCTTTGGTGAGGTGAAAGTATACACTCTGAAAGTGAACACCAAGAATTAGTGAAACGTGTGTGTGTGTGTGTGTGTNACATATGTGTGTGTGGCAATGTTAAAACAAGTCACAGAAGTTTGCCAATTTGCCATTTATTTGATTTGATGCAAAATTAAAAATATTATGCCAGATAACATTACCTGAACTTCAAACCTACAGTCCTCATCTGTAACTGCAGTTCTGTTAAATTAATAATCTCTCAATAGTTTTAACCCTGTTGTGTGTGAGTGTGTGTGTGTGAGTGTGTGTGTGTGTGTGTGTGTGTGTGTGTGTGTGTGTGTGTGTGTGTGTGTGTGTGTGTGTGTGTGTGTGTGTGGGGCCCTTCAGTTTGTATTGAAAACAAAGCAGAAGAGGGAGACTATTTGTTTGTAATGGGTAGGTACAACTTGATCTAAAACAACTGAAGTTTTTCAGGTCACTGCCTTGTTGGCATTCTATTTTTCCAAAATGTTAACAGGATTTCTGAAATCATTCTTTTCCTCTCTTTTGTTATTTAATTAGACCCTGTTTGGGAATTCTGTAATCCTCTATTGTATGGTATAAGTTGTGTTTTAGTTGCCTGTAAAGATTGTGACGGTAACGTGTAAAAGTACCACCAATTCTTAATTAATATGAATCATGGTTGGGATACTGGAGCCTAATAATCAGAGTGTTTCTTGGACCAACCACCTCCGATGAAAACAGGAAGTACAAGACAATCTTTTGGTTAAATGTACCTCATTAAGCGTCTCTGTTTTGTGGATTACTGGATAATGGATTTGAGCTGTTGAATGAGTATTGTAGGTAGGATTAGATATTAGATACATTTGCAGGTTTAGATATTAACAACAACAGCAGCAGCAGGCCAGTGCCATGTTGACAAATGTTTGGAGTGTTTTTTCAAGCTATTGTTTTCATCTATCTTATTTAATTAGACCTTGTTTGGGAACTTTGTAATCCTCTATTGTTGAGTTGTAGTTGTCTGAGCACACAGAAGAAGGCGTCTGCTGAAAGCATATCTGTAAATAACACGACTGACCTCTGCGTTGGCCTGAGATTCTCTTTGTCTGAGTGGATTAGTTTGTCTACATTGCTCCGGTGCTGCTTTTCAAATGGAAGAGTAGAGTAGAGTCGCTGCATATGTCGGAAACTCTTCACGTGGGTTATTTTATAAACAACTAGTTAAATAAGCATGTGAGACCGCTACACGGGTCAGAACTTTTATTTTCTCTTTACTGAAAATGACCCCAATTGCGCCATCATCCAAGATTATGTTTGGAGATTATCCTAATAAATCCTCAATGCCATTCACCAAATCAATCGTTATTCGGCACAGCCACAGCGGCTCTCTCAGTTTTAAGACCACTTTTCAAAACTACAGGATGTGGTTTTTAATAGTCTAAAGACAGATTTCAGGGAATCCATTTAAACACAAATTCAAAAAGACTCGAAACATTCACATTGTATTTCATTTACACTTTGACGCTGAGTCTGCACACCACCCATGTCCTTTCAAAGAAGAACGAGAGCTAATGTAATATTAATTAAGAAGACACTTGGTTGTATTTGCTTCCAAGCATTCTGAGCACTAATTCTGTTTGTGTCTGTGTGCGCTATGCTTTTCTTTTCTTTTTTTCAGACCACTGAAAGCACTTGGCTTTACTAATGGAGCACCTCCAGGGAGCGTGGAAGACTCTGAGCAACGGCTTCGGAATGAAAGACTCTGCGTTCGAGGGCCCGTGCCTTTCACCAACCATGGTGCAGGGCTTTCCCTGCCACCGTCGCTCCTCAGATGACAGCAAGATGCCCGACTCCAAGACTAGCAGCACTATCCGAGTCTACCTCCCAAACCAGCAACGCACTGTGGTGAGTCGATTTCCATTGCAAGCAGAAAATTGCAGACTTCAAATAAGACCTCAGAAATACCGCAGTGGTACGCAGTTTTGTAAAGGTATATGTTGCTGCTTACATCCTAAAGAATTGATGTGGTGTACAGGTAAACGTGCGACCAGGTATGACTCTGCAGAATTGCCTGATTAAAGCGTTGAAGGTGCGAGGTCTGCAGCCTCAGTGCTGTGCCGTCTTCAGGCTGCATCCGGGACAGAGGAGGTGAGCTCAGCACCATTGTGGGTTTGAAACCAGGGAGAGTAAGATCTGACTTTCCACTGGTCACATTTTTACTCGCTTCAGTTATTTTGTCTGCTTTGAAGTTGAAGTCCCTTCATGTAAATCTGTTTTCTGATTTTGTATCAGTAAAAAACTACGGATGGATTGGCATACTGACTCCACCTCTGTGATCGGGGAGGAGCTGCTGGTGGAGGTTTTAGATCACGTTCCTTTGACGACGCATAATTTTGTGAGTACCTGAAGTGCTTACGAAATCCTCATTGCTCTGTGTCACTGCCTAAGAAATAATAGATCTTTTTTTCTATCATTTTTTTTTAGGTTCGGAAAACATATCTGAAACTTGCTTTCTGTGATATTTGCCAGAAGTTTCTTTTGAATGGTTTCCGTTGCCAAACGTGTGGTTACAAATTCCATGAGCATTGTAGCACCAAAGTGCCAACGATGTGTGTGGACTGGAGCAATATCAGACAACTCCTGTAAGTGTCTTGAGTTTGAAATGAAAGCATAATGTGAATAGACCATTCAAAAACTTGCCAGTACATTATAGAACAGTAACTTTGGAACATTACATCAAGAACTATTACATAGAAATATAACTTGCCATCTTAAACCCATTCTCTGTGTGTAAGCTTTTAGTTTGATTAAATGTAATCAATAATAATCTAATAAAACCTGAAGTAGGATTCTTAATGCATTAAAAAGTTTGCTGTTGATGATACTGCAGTTCTAAGCTTGGTCTAAGCTCGTATTTATGCAGCTTTGCATACTTACATACACCAACAATAGAGGCTTATTAGCGTTAGTTTGCATACAGTATGTAGGAGTGTAATCATTCAAAGATCTATATCACTGACAGAGAGGAGAGACACACCCTTACAAGCTTTATACTGTTCATTGTCTATTTCTCTCTGTTTTCAGCCTGTGTCCAACACCCGGTGAGAGCGGTGCCCCGTCACTGCCGCCGCTGACATCCCGGCGAATGAGAGAGTCCATAACAAGGTTTCCAAGGTGATGTGACATACCAGTGTGTTGCTTTTAATTAACATGAGATAGATTCACCGTGTAGATGTGAGGAAACCTGCTATGGTCTGGATATTGGGACCTAATACTTAGGGTGTTCCTTGGACCAACAACGTCTGATGAAAGCAGGAAGTGCAACAGTTAATCTTTTTAAGTCTCTCAGCTGAGTGGAATACTCGATAATGAATTTGAGCTGTTGATTGAATCTATTGTACATACGAGTAGAGATACATTTCAGGCATGAAAATCACTCACCTTTCTGCGAAATTCGCCGTTTTTAATCCAAAATATGTGACCTACGTGTTCACACCCGCTGTGTGTCCGCTACTGGCGGCGGAGCAGCAGGTTTATCTCCTTCAATACAATCGGATTATGCACTGAACTAAACGTCAGGACTCTACGGTAAGAAGTCCTGCATCTTCTGGTCTGTTGACAACTATCAAAGCCCTTTTCAGAAGTGAAAAGCTGGAGTGCTTTTACTTTTAAACGGGTTCAAGAAGTGGTGTAAATACGTTTGTGACATAGACAGATCAACTTTGTGTTTCACTGCAGAATAAAATTATCTTTCACCTGAGTTTGAATGTTTATCTGTTGAATTTATAAAGCGAGATAGCGTGAATGAGGGCGTGAATGAGGGGAAGATTACTGCTAGCATAGCAAGTATGGCTCCCAAGCATCTGGCAGTGCTCAGCAGACTAAAAGCCAGACAGCTGAAGAAGAGAAGAGGGCAAGGCTGAGACATGTGGCAAAACAGAGAAAGCAGGCAATGGAGACACTGGTCCAGGCAAAGAGGAAGAAATTACATAATTACATTGAGTACTATCTTAATTGTTTATCTTGTTTCGCCAGTGAACTCTGAATTAAAGCTGTGCTGTTGCACATTTCATAGGAGAAGTTGCTAGTCTCGTTTCTTATACAGCATAGTTGTCGGCCTTATTTCTTATAACGCATAATATGAATATGTATAGATACTTTATTATACATTCATACTGTCCTATAACTCTGCTTGATTTTTCTCTCAAAGTGCACCTCATTGATGCTTTTAAATATAAAATGTCCAAAATTTTCTTCAGGGGGAACATGCCACCCGACCCCCCTAGAGGGGTTGTATCCTTCTGACCTTTTGCATCCCTGACCTGTTTTCTTGCCTGCATTTGCAAGTTTAGATATCCACAAATGTCTTCTTCTGTTATGTTATGCCCGTTCGCAACACATACCATGATTTGTCTTCTGCTCTCATTGCAAGAGAACCTTAATCTTAATTGATTTAAATCCTGTTTTTAATGACGTCCTCAGCTTTATGGGGGCTTAGCGTTCTGAGGGCTGATGTAACGTGTAAGTGTGAAAAGGGCCTGTTGTTTCAGGAGCCCTTAAAATAGTTAAAAAACACTGCGAGCTGCCAAATTAGCACTCAAATAGTATCAAGTTGCTCCATGCTGAGCAATCTCAAATGCTCTTTTAAAACATAGTTCAGTGTCTCCAAAAGGGAATTGTTCTCAAGGACTGCACTCCATGGTCATAAGTGTGATGTAATACGATCTCTGTTTACATACCTCATTCAGCTGGAGATCCACTGTCCCCATTTTATCCAGCAGCAAGAGCACAGTCAAGATACCAGTCCATTAAAAGGAGGTGCACCAAGACCTCTGACTTAAGTGCAAAGCAGAACATTTATAAGCTCATTTATTCTTGTTCAAATGATTATTTTTTTTATATTTTAGCTTGCCCCCTTATCACAAGTGGCACCAACATTTGGAGATTAACAAATTAGTTTGGTGAGCTTTGACCTCTTCAGCTGAGCCATTACTGATCTTGGCATACACGAAGGGCAAAATACTTCTGGGTAAGATGAGGGCCACAGTAAAATGAACTAATTACTTCTTCTCAGTTTTTCTTTTTGATCATTACTCTTATTTTTCATCATATTTGATTTGCATTTGTGATTTTTTTTGTGTGGATGATTCTTAAATGGGTTAAAGCGAGACAAAGTGACAGAAATGAAACCAGAAAGCCCCTGCGCAACCCACAAGGGCCACACCCACGCTGGCCCAGTTTTAAAGAAGTGACAGAATTCAGCATCTGTTTTTCTTTTAAATGTCAGCGCTGTGTGTCATTTTGAAGCGGGGCCACTAGATCTTGGCAAACAATTGCTGCTCAATCTTGAATTTTGATCCTCGTTCACCCCCACAGCTCAGCCCACCGATATTCCACCCCTCATGCCTTCAACTACACCACGCCCTACCCACCCACAGGCAGCGGTCTCTCCCAGAGGCAGCGCTCCACTTCTACGCCCAACGTCCACATGGTTAGCACTACCCTGCCTGTAGACAGCAGCATCATTCAGGTAACTTCTTCTGTAGGTTCATCCTGCCAACCCTAAAATATCTCCTGCCAGAGTTATCCTGCCCTCCTATGAACATCTCAGGCATTCCAACTATCCTCACCTTGCTCTTTTCTATCTCTTATCTTACGCTGTGTTAAATAATCCACCTGAACAGGGCAGAGCCTGTTTTTTCGTGTAATTCCCCTGATAGCATCTTATTTTAGCGATTTCAAACTGTGACACTTGACTTCCCTCTGTTCAGTTCTAGTTTCTGCTTTTTCACTGGCTGTGTGTTCTTGAAAATTTAGGTCCCTAGTTCTGCATGCTTTATATATTATTTCCCATATATTCTGTCCAGGTTGAAACCTGAGCATCACTCTTGTCATTGTTCCTTCCTCACTTTACTTTACTGTGTCCCTTTCCCTCCTTTCCTCACTGGCCTGTTGTATTGTACCCTGTTGGGGAGTAGCTAGAATGCCTGAATACCTCCCCCAGCTCCTGGTGCCATAGATTCTGGCTGAAGAGGAAAGTAGGTATTGTGCACTTCTCCCAGTCTTTTGTTGAGGCCTCACCTGAGAATCCAGAAAAGGTTAGAGAGCAGAGTGTCTGTGTGCAGTCTGAATGGCATGCCTTGCAAACAGGCTATCTGCATTCACATCTTAAGTATTGAAGTCCAACAATGAGTTGACAGCACAGCATGTGATTCACTGTATGAACAAGCTGACAGAACAATTGTTTGTTGTTTTTTGCCTCTCTAGGATGCAATGCGCGATCATGACTCAGGTAAGCTCTGTAAACGCCATGTTAACTTTTGTGCATTCCACCTTCACCACAAAAATAATTATTCTAGGTACATAGTGTTGCTGAAATTAAGTTTTTATTCTAATCACAGCAGTTGACATTGAGGTTCAACCATTACGTAATAGTCATTAAAAAAAATAGAGAAGCAGTACAGAGATTGATCCAGATGTGATGGGCCATTAAACAAGAAGAAGGCTTATCATCAATCTCAGTTCTTTTTTTTTTTTTCCATTACAGCAGTTGTTCCTGTATTATTAAATGTGACAGCCCGATTGGAGATTTCATTTATTTGACTGTTTCCAATCAAAGCTCTGTTTTCAGTGGGTGAGACTGAGAATTGAGACAAAGTCTAAAAGTGACCATGTACTGTCCACTATGGAGTGTTTGACCTTTTCCTGTGCATAGAGTTATTATATCCCACTGTGTTACATCTTAAATAGTAAATTAGATTAGATGTTCACTACGGAGTACTTACTACCATTATGTATTCCACAGATTTATATGAACTGACTAATTTAAAATAGTTTTTTAAATGTATTTTTGCCATCTGACACACTATATAGTCCTACACACAGATTCCCCCCTCCAGTGTGTAGCAAGTTATTTTGGACCCAGCTAAAATCTTCAATCATGAATCCCTTCCTTCTCTTCCTTCTTGTGCTCTTTAAGCGGGGAGTTCCCCCAATCAAAGCCCTACAGGCTGGTCCCAATCCAAAGCCCCTGCACCTGCCCAGCGAGAGAGGGTCCCGTCCTTTAATACGCAGGAGAAAAATAAAATTGTAAGTTCCACTGTATGCCTCGCCCTGTAATGTTAATTACTGGAGAACCATTTGTGCAAACAAACCTATAGAATATTGGTTTATGATGATCTCACATGTTTAATTTGAGTCACTCATATATCATTTGCACTTTCTGTGATTTCTGTTGACACAGAGGCCACGGGACAAGCGTGACTCTAGTTACTATTGGGAGATTGAAGCTAGCGAGGTGTATCTGAACTCCCGCATCGGCTCAGGCTCCTTTGGAACTGTGTACAAAGGGAAATGGCATGGTAGGAATGCATTTCAGATGGGGCACGGCACAGGTGTAACCACTTTCACAGTAAACTACACCTAACACTTAAAAATGTTAACTGACACATTAAAGTAAACACGTAGCACTGGTTGTCATATGGGCTTACAGTAGAATTGCTCAAGGGTAGCTAAGGAGAGTGCTTTTGTTGCAGGTGATGTAGCGGTCAAGATTTTAAAGGTGACCAACCCCACACCAGAGCAGTTCCAGGCCTTCAGGAATGAAGTGGCTGTCCTGAGGTAAGAAGAGTGTCAAAGAGTTTTGAATTCTTTTGTGAATCATCTTCATATAAACTAACTTTGTTGTGGTGATTTCCTCTTCCCCTTCGATTGTCGCAGGAAAACGCGACATGTCAACATCCTGTTGTTCATGGGCTACATGACGAAGGACAACCTAGCCATTGTGACCCAGTGGTGTGAGGGCAGCAGCCTCTATAAACACCTTCATGTCCTGGAGACAAACTTGAAGATGATCCAACTCATAGACATCGCCAGGCAGACAGCTCAGGGCATGGAGTAAGTCCCAGATGGGAAATTGTTCTGATGAAAAAAAAAAAAAAAAAAAAAAAGATCTCTCTTGTAATTTCTGTCTAATTTTCAGCTACCTGCATGCAAAGAACATCATTCACCGTGACATGAAGTCCAACAGTATCCTTCTTGACAGCAGTTTAAGAGTGTACTTGTCCTGTTTGTATTTGAAGTTGCAGACAAAAGCACTTTAAGTGTGTTCTAGCTGTAAATTCCTTGACAGTGGTGTAGATATCTTCTTGCATGAAGGGCTCACAGTGAAGATTGGGGACTTTGGTCTTGCAACAGTGAAGGCCAGGTGGAGCGGCTCACTTCAGGTGGAGCAGCCGTCTGGATCCATTCTCTGGATGGTGAGTAACTCGGCTTATCATTTACAACAGCAATGAGACGATTGCTTTGAGAAACTCGAGATGTAGATAACAATAAATGGACAGACTAAAGAAAATAAACTAGAAAATGCCCTCCCTCATGTTTTGTTCCTCATGTCCACAGGCTCCTGAGGTTATCCGGATGCAGGACAACAATCCCTACAGCTTCCAGTCTGATGTCTATTCCTATGGAATTGTTCTTTTTGAGCTCATGACGGGAGAGCTCCCATACGCCCTCATAGCAAATAGAGATCAGGTAAAGTCTCATTATTTATAAAAACACTGTTTGTCTAGCAATTTAGCACTAATACTGCTCATGCAAGTATGACTAAGAGAATAATGTGAATTGCACTCTTTGTTCTCCACAAACAGTTATTTTTTTAACTTGCAAAAAACGTGACGCTTGCAAGTTTTTGCTACCTTGTTAGATTTGGTTATGTCATACAGAACTGTAGCCCCACAGTCAGACATGTGTTTAAGCCCTGATCCTCGCCTGGGTCCCAGTGTCAGACTGCAAACCCAAGCCAGGAGGTGGTGGAAAGACACTGGGTAGCTGTCTGAAGGGGGTTGTGGAGCTGGCCTAAGGCCCACCATGGAACAGAGGCGGACGCCCTGGAGCCACTGGCCTAATTTTAGACCCCGTAACACAACCCTGTATGTGTGTGAGAAAAGGGGTGCATGGGTGCGCATATTTGGTCTGTGGTTTTTCATCCTCTCACGGGCCACAAGACCTGGTTTGGGTCGTGTCTGGCTCCTTGTTCCATTCAGTGTCCTGTCTCTATTTAAATCAGGCTGAAGTTGCTGTACAAAATGTGCCCATAAGTGCTGTTATGATCCACTGTTGTACCCCTGGTCTCCTTGATACTGTAGAAGGACTTTGTACTCAGCTGACCTGGCAAGCACATAGTGTACTCCTATCATCCCTTATCTCTGCAGCATCATGCACTCATGCCTTTACAATAGCTCCAGTGTTTTAGATGCCTGTCACCTTAGACTCTCTGACCATATTTATAAAGTATCTCTGTGGTGGACTACTGATTTCGGATCGGATTGTTCAGGTGTTTGTCTGTTGCACTGGCTCAATAGTTCAGCTCTAAATTCTTTTATCTGCACTCCCTTAGTCTCATCAGTTCTTTGTGACCCCCCGTCTCAGATTATCTTCATGGTGGGAAGAGGATATCTGTCCCCCGACCTGAGTAAGCTCTACAAGAACTGCCCCAAAGCCATGAAAAGGCTGGTGGCCGACTGCATCAAGAAGTCCAAGGATGAGAGGCCACTCTTCCCGCAGGTGAATACAGCTCTCATTAACTGCAAGCAAAGTTAATGTAGAGTGCTTTGTTTAACTAATCTTTATTTGTATCCTAATTTCTGCAGATCTTGTCCTCCATCGAGCTTCTCCAGCATGCCCTCCCTAAGATAAACCGCAGTGCCTCAGAACCGTCCCTGCACAGAGCCTCTCACACCGAAGATATTAACGCCTGTTCTCTGACTTCCACCAGACTGCCTGTGTTCTAGAGGCTCTAGAGGCACCGCCCCTTCTCCTCACACTTCCCCTCCTCTTCGAAATATCCCAAATAGTCCAAATGCTCAGTACAACCAAATTCTCTACATGCAGATGCCAATATAGGCCTAAAAATGTACAGCACATGCAATCAATCATAAAACCACACTTATCAATAAAATATGTAAGAATAAGAGGAAAGGGAGAAGCACATCTGAGTTTAACTCTGGAAGGGAGTGAGTGATGATGGATTGCAGTGGACACAAAGAATTTGCCATAACATACATGAAGGTGGTGCCTTGCTTACCACTGCACATATTAAGAAGTATGCAGTGGCCCCGCGGTGGCATAGCATTCAGTACAAGTTGTAAATACACGCACGCACACCTACCTAAGACAGCGATAAATGGACACTGAAGGAAGCACAAGAGAAGGACAGATATGTCTCTTGATTTGGGTTCTGTGATTTGAAGCTCACACCCGTCTATCTGGTCGCCCTGATTTCTGATGAAGAGGACCTTTAAAGCTTACCTGCCTTAAGAGGAAGCAAAGCCTGGACACCGATCCTGCACAACTTCACTTCCTCTTACACAAACAAAGCCGTTGGATGTAGTCCATTTAGTTGCACAGTAGTAGTTCATTTTACGTTGTCTTACATGATAATGAAGTAGATATGGGAAATTTCTCCTTTTTGTTGTTGATCGTCTTTTTGTCTTTGACTTCTTTTTATTGTCTTTATTTTTTCGGGTCTTTTTGGAGGAATTATAGCCTGTCAGACAGTGAGCATGAGCGATGATGAAAAACTTTGCACATCTAAGCAAAAGCAATGGTTATGTTTCAACAATGGTTTCGTAGCTCGGAGTAAACTGAACTGCAGAGAACCCACACATTCTCATCAGTCCTTCCATGTGTCGGTTATCACGAGCTGGACATGTGGCGGTTGTCTTAAATATTTAAAATGATTTTGGAAACTAATTTGTATTTGTTTATCATGTCTCTTTCAGGAGGGTAAACATTTTATTGTGAACTTGGTGAGAAAGTTGTCTGTTCAATATTTTAATAAAATTAAGTTAAAATTACTTTGCCAGAAGAGATTGTATTGGTCACCTTCTTCAGAAGATGCATTTATGAATCACTGTATTGATAATGTGTCACTTGACGTTCGGACACAGGTGAGATGGGCAGCTGACACCAGATTACACCACCTCTTCGCTTGTTCACGAACAGTAAAATCCCACACACGTGCAAGACTTTGTGGCAGGGTGCAATGTTTGCTGTAGCAGTAGCAACGTGGTGTAAGCTCACAGGGGATCCAGTACAGACACGCAACCAGGGGATTCCACCATTGGCCGATGCCACTGCGCTGTGCAGCCACTGGCAGGCACAGTGGAACAACCATCATTCAGCAAGGGAGGGACGCAGTGGAAAGAGAGGACAGTTATATTTTGTTTTAGTGTAAACATCCAACGTGTAGTTGCTGCTGGGCAGGACCACTTGACTTGGTTTAGTCCCAAGTGCAAATGTATCATAAACATGGGGAATATTTTCTGTGTTGTGAAGGAATTTCTGTGTTTTATAATGTTTTATGGCTCTTTGTAATGAGCCCAAGGCAAGAAACATGATGGCAGTTTTTGACTTTTATCGCTTTAATCACATGTTTCAAAACATCCCATCGCAGGGTAAAGTAGGCCTGATCGACATCAAAAGTGAAGCAACTCAATAAGAGCGAAGCCATGAGCTGACCGCTAGTTGTCTATTTTTATACCACTTTTTGCCTTATGTGTTTATCTGTTCTATTTCTACATTCTGACAAGCCACACAGGCTAGAATGAAATCAACAGAACCGAAAACGTCCCACTTCCCCGGCCTACAGCAGCGCCATCTAGTGGTTCCCTCATGATGTGTGTGAGCCTGCTTCGTACACTGTAAAACCACTGACTGTACAGACCTGCACAACAATCAGTGATGCCACATCCTTCATTCTTATTCTTCTATGACAAGTAAAACTCCTGCGTTCAAATAAAGAACATTTATTATCAGCTAAATATCAAAATGTCTTGTTCTTATACTGTGGCCAAAATATTATTATGAATTATACGATTGGGTTATTTGATGCATTAGGAGATATGTAGCAATTTATTGCTGTAGATGGTCGAGGTTGAGCTTGTCCAGTTGTTCCTAAAGCAAAGCTCAGAAGATAAATCTGAAGGGTCGTGGGATGATTCATGGGGTTAAAAATGAAAAAAACATAAATATCCACAACACAAGGCAACATATAAGCAATCATTTTTCTTGACCTCAGTGAACATATTTTTATGAAAATGTTCAGCCTTAAATTAATTGGTAACTATTGGTGTCATATAAATGTCTCTAAAATATAGTTTAATAAGTAGTTCGATCTTAACGCTGAAAGTATTTTCATGGCCAGGAGAAATGTTGAGTTTAATGGGTGAAGCACAGACGGAGAGAAATCTGCTAATACATATGCTGATATAATAATACTACCAATGTGATTTGACAAACACAACCTCCAGACACGGTGTACCAATCTTTACTAGGAGCTGTTCCATCACTTCACAGTTCTTGCTTCTCTTCTTCTCCTCTACTTCAGCAATAAAAGACCACGTCTTTATCCACGATGCTGGAACATTAACACGTGTTTTGATTGGGTTTGTCATTTCAGTGGTTTTGTAAATTCTGTGACAAAGTAAAGGCCCAGTCAAGCGGCTCAGAATGATTATGTAACCGTAATAACTTGAGAGCTGCGTGAAGGCCTCTCATTCTCAGTGTTACCACCAGATGGCAACAAGAATATAGACACACACACACACAGTGTTTGTCAACTGATCCATCCACAGTCTTTATTCGACAGCAGAATCAATATTTTATTTACTTTTTTTAATATTTTATTACAGTTGACACTATAAATTGATAAATCTTAAAATTATAGCTAATCAGTAATTGATAGATTCAGTCATTTTCAAGCAGAAAAGGTCAAAAGAAACTTGCTCCAGCTTCTCTTATGAGATAATTTGTTGCTTTATGTGGTGAAAGGAAACAAACCAAAGCACCTGAAGATGTCACCTGTGGTTCTGGGAAGTTCTCGTGGGCTTTTGACATTTAATTCACTAAAAGATTGATTGACAAAATGACTTAGCAGATAACAAAGTAATGAGAGTAATGATTATACCCAATTTTAAAACAAGCAAAAGCAGTGATATTAAATTCAATTCTCTATATTAGGTCTTTCAAATTATTTTAAAATATCTCTATGTTTCTCACAAATCATCTTTATTTTCACCTCCACTATGAAATGGAGGTGCATCTCCTCTGCTGCATCCTCCAGCAGATGGACAGTGCAGCAGAAGTTGTTCACGTTGTGCAGCAGCTTGGCAGACAGCTGGGAGGAGTCTAGACGGAAGCTCCTCGGCAGGAGCCTCAGGGGCCCCATGGTGTCGTTCCTCTGAGTTCTGCAGTGGCTTTTACAATCATCGGGCCGGGGTGGTGTGTTTGTTGTGAGGGGGAAACATCAATACCATCTGGAATCCTGACAATACATTATGGTGAGCATATTTTATCTGTTCAATAAAGCAAACGGCCTGAATGTACCTAATGTATCATGAACTTTTCTGGGTTCAACAACAGCTGTGATGGTCTGATATGCAGCTCCAGCTTTCTGCTCTGACTATGACTGCAGTCATGTCAGTTATTTATGGATGGCTTCAGGCAGAAAGTGTCTGGCAGTTTACAAAGTTCTGACCGAGCACTTGTGACATGAATACCAAGTGACCATGCAAAGGTATCATATCCAAAACACAATGGCTTTAAGGTGTTCTTATATTCCTATGTATGGATCACATTAGTAAACATGCACTAAGGTTGAATGCTAAACATTTTTTTAATATGGATGTTTTGTCGTTACCATACAAACACACAGTATGAGTCACAAGAAGGCTGTTTCCTCTTTGCTCACTTTATACATGAGTTTCATACTGTATGTATGTATCATATCCGAATACGCACACATGTGGAAACTTCAAGTCTCCCGTGCACAAACACTAAGAGTGGAATTTTCAGTGAGGTGGAATCCATCTTTTCCCGTCAATGATTTTTCTGGAGAAAGAGACACAAAAATCCCCATTAAAGTACCACACATGATAACTTAAGTAAAGTCAAAGTGAAGTCCTGAGACAAAGTTTTTAACTTTGACACCCGATATAAAACTGTAAGTGTTTTCCATTATAAAATTGTACAGCTTCGTCAGTCAGGTAAGTAGAAGAGAACAGAAATGCTGCATGTACTTTCCCATGCAGTTGTCAATATCATATTCAGAACTGAAAATCTGTTTCAAACACTGACCTATCCATAAAACCTTCTCCACCTCATCCAGGAACAACAGGAACTTTGCAGATGCCTGCAGCATGACCCTGTGTATGTGAAAAATATGATTGTGCTTTCTTAGAGGAAGTAGCTTCAGTGTTTGGTTGCTGCAGAAAGTCTCAGAGGTCGCAATGAATGAATGAATGAATGAATTGATACAGTATAACTATAGAAGCAGGAGATATAAAAAAAACAAGACTGATCAAATCAAGTCACAATCGACTCTCTACGAGTAGCTTTATACTTTTCTCTTTACCAGAAGCATGAACCAGAGAATAATAAACATCCAACCTGGATGATTAACAAACAACAAACGTGTCAAATCACATCGAGTTGAAGTCTGGTCTGCAGGAGCAACAGAATGTAATATAAAGTCATTCAGTTTGTGTAAGTCAAAGAAAGGTTAATCACATTTAGATTTTTATTTCCAACACATTATGAGTCAAGATATCATTTGCTGCTTCCACTCATCTCATTATCTGATCTGATCACCTTGACAACCCATAGACGAATCTGCAGCTTAAAATCAATTCACATCCAATTCTCACAACATGGATCCACAGTGAATTTATAAGAAATAGATATAAACAACTACTACTACTTTACACAGTATTTACTGATTCAAATCAATATAACTATTGTTTAGCAAGCACAGAAATGAATTGTTAACTATGTTAGATATGTTTTATAAGTCATTACTGGCAATGTTGTGTTTTAGTTTTTCAACGATATCAGATTACGAACAACAAATTTACAGTGAAGCAAAGAGATCACAAGTTAAAACTTTCTGGAGTAAATACACACACATACACAGTGGTGGGATATAACAAAGTACATTTACTTGTTTACAATTACTGTACTTAAGTACATTTTTCATGTACCTGTACTTTATGTAAGTAGATTCATTTTCAGGTGCTTTTCACCTTTACTCTTCTTCACGAATCAATCAGCAAATATCTGCACTTTCTGCTACCACCTTAATGCCTGCAGCAGCATCACTGGTGAAGCTGTTCAGTCTCACTTCAGCTATCAGTTTCCCTGAGGTTTGTCCTCAGTGGCTCAATCTTCCTGATGTATCTCATCATCTACCAATTTCAGAGGGTGTGTTTTCTCAGCCAGAAGCCGGAAGAGTCCGAGTTAGATTGAACCTGCATCCCTCCTCATGTGAGAGCATCTTGACTTCGGAGCAGGTCTTTTTGAAATTAATCCTCTGAGTTCCATAGGGCCTCCAAACGTAGCAAAAGAGATATTTATGGTATCGAGATAATTTATCTCACAAAAATACAGTATCCTATATTGTTAACATATAAGTAAGGTAGACACCATAAAGCAGACAGTATACATTAGCTTAATACAATTATCTTGTCATGCATTTGAGTGCAGGCTGAGTAGTGTGGCCTCACCTTGACTGTGTAATGGATTGAGTCTGTGCCTTTGTCGACCAGTAAGAAACAGTATGACAACACAGACCAGACAGTACTTGGACACAGACCAAACTTATATTGCAAATTAAGCTTTATTGCCAGTGACAGAGGGGAAATATCCAGACCGGAATGTTTTCCACAATATATTGTCTTCTGATCTTAATTGAAACAGTCCAACATCGGTTTTATATGCACATATATTACCATTGCCCTTGATAAGTACAGTCCTGCAGGTCAGAGGATATAAGTTTCACCTCAACACAATGGCCAAATAAACTCGTCCAAT